GGAGACCAGGGAGGGAGTGTGGGGTTGGGGAGGGAATGAGGGAGCGGGATACAGCTGGGACACAGAGTTAACAAAATGTAACTAAAAATAAAAATAAAATAAAAAAAAAGATATTTGTTATTGTCATTGAATATCTTGTTTTCTCCATTTATGAGGACTGAGAGTTGATGGTTAGAGTAGCCTGGGATGACATCTGTGTTCTCTTAAGTCTGCATGATATCTGTCCACGTCCTTCTGGCTTTCATTTTCTCTGTTGAAAATTCAGGTATGATTCTGATGGGTGTGCCATTATATGCTACTTGGCCTTTTTCCCTTGCAGCTTTTAGTATTTTTTCTTTGTTGTGTATACTTACTGTTTTGATTATTATGTGGCAGGAAGATTTTCTTTTCTGGTTTAATTTATTGGGTGTTCTCTAAGCGTCTTCTATTCTTTTTGGCCTCTCTTTTATGTTGGGGAAATTTTCTTCAATGATTTTGTTGAAAATATTTTCTGGGCTTTGGAGGAGGTAATCTTCTTTTTCCTCTATTCCTATTATTCTTAGATTTTGTCTTTTCATGTTGCCTTGAATTTCTTTTTTTTTAATTTTTTATTTAACTTTTATTAATTACACTTTATTCATTTTGTATCCCCCCATAAGCCCCTCCCTCTTCCCCTCCCGGTCCCACTCTCCCCTCCCTTTCTGCATGCATGCCCCTACCCAAGTACACTTATAGGGGAGGTCCTCCTCTCCTTTCTGATCTTAGTCTATCAGTTCTCATCAGAAGTGGCTGCATTATCAGGGTTCTAGGTTATCTCCATGAATAGTCCTTGGTTGGAGTTATGAATCTCTGGGAAGTTCCCTGTGTTCAAATTTTCTTGTTCTGTTGCTCTCCTTGTGGAGTTCCTGTCCTCTCCAACTCTTATTATTTCCCACTTCTTACATAAAATTCCATTCACTCTGCCCACCAGTTGGCCATCAGGCTCAGCATCCACTTTGACAGTCTGCAGGGCAGAGGCTTTCAGAGGCCCTCTGTAGCAGGTTCTTAGGTTGTTTCCTGTTTTCTTCTTCTTCTGATGTCCATTCTTTTTGCCTTTCAGGATGGGGATTGAACATTTTAGTTAGGGTCCTCTCTTTTGCTTAGTTTGTTTAGATGTACAGATTTTAGTGGGTTTATTCTATGTTGTATGTTTATATGAGTGAGTATATACCCTGTGTGTCTTTTTGCTTCTGGGACAACTCACTCAGGATGATCCTTTCTAGGTCCCACCATTTACCTGCAAATTTCATGATTTCCTTATTTTTCATTGCTGAGTAATACTCCATTGTATAGATGTACCACACCCATTTTTCAGTTGAGGGGCATCTGGGCTGTTTCCAGCTTCTGGCTATTACAAATAACGCTGCTACAAACATGGTTGAGCAAATGTCCTTTTTGTGTACTTGAGCCTCTTTTGGATATATACCTAGGAGTCGTATGGCTGGATCTTGAGGAAGTGCTATTCCTAGTTGTCTGAAAAAGCGACAGATTGATTTCCAGAGTGGTTGTACAAGTTTACATTCCCACCAGTTGTGGAGAAGAGATCCCCTTTCTCCACAACCTCCCCAGCATGTGTTGTCACTTGAGTTTTTGATCTTGGCCATTCTGATGTGTGTAAGTTGGAATCTCAGGGTTGTTTTTATTTGCATTTCTCTAATGGCTAATGAGGTTGAGCATTTCTTTAAGTGCTTCTGTGCCATTCGATATTCATCTACAGAGAGTTCTCTGTTTAGCTCTGTTCCCCATTTTTTAAGTGGATTACTTGGTTTGCTGCTTTTCAGCTTCTTTAGTTCTTTATATATACACTGGATATGAGTCCTCTGTCAGATAAAGCGTTGAATTTCTTGGATGGTCTGTGTCAGGAATTTTGTTAGCTTTAACGGTTTTTTTTTTGACAGATACATCTATTTCTTCCATTATATCTTCTACACCTGAGATTCTTTCTTCCATCTCTTGTAGTCTATTGGTTATGCTTACCTCTGTAGTTCCTGTTTTCTTCCCTATGTTCTTTCTATCCACAATTTCCTCCATTTGCGTTTTCTTTAATTTTTCAAATTCTATCTTCAGTTCTTGAGCCATTTTGATGATTTCCTTCACCTGTCTGACTGTATTTTTCTGTTTTCCTTCAATTCCTTCAACTGTTTGTTTGCACAATCCTGTTTCTTTTATTTCTTTGAGTGTTTCCTCTCTAAGGGCCACAAACTGTTTGGCTGCAACTTCCTGTATTTCTTCACAGATGGCCATGATCTCTTTTTCTTTATCTTCTTCTATTTTTTACAATAGCCATAATCTGTTTGACATTATCTTCCTCTAGATCTTTACACATTTAATTTTTTCCTCTGTTATTCTCCTCATGAGCATAGATGTTAGGTCATCTTCTTGAATTTCAATTATGCTGGGGTGTCTAGGGCCACTTACCCTTGGATAACTGGATTCTGTAGATGCCATATTGCTCTGTCTTTTGTTGGTTGGTTGTTTTTCCTGGCCTCTACTCACTGGACTATGTTAGGTGTTTAAAGTTAGTTTCTGGTGTTTCCTGGGATCCTATAGTGGAGAAAATCCCCTGGGCAGAAAGATGGTTTTCCTGAAGGAAATCTCCTCAGCTTTTTGGGTATAGTCACTGTATGTCCAGTGTTTTTCAGGAGTTGCCACAGCTCAACTCAGGCTTAGAGATCTGAGTAGTAACTGTGGTCCTTGTTAGTCGAGAGGGCTCTCCTCTCACCCGAAGAAGTCCTGGAGACAGCTGCCCTGCTTCTGGGTTTCTTGCTGTAAATTTACTGAGCTGCTGCTGTAACCTATGTATCTCTTGGTTTGGTCAATTTTGTTAGGGATAACTGGTTGCCCCTTGGAGCAGTATCTGGGGGTTAATCTCAGGGATCCCGGGCTTTTGTAAGTCTGAGGTTGAGGCTCTGTGCCCCAGTACCCAAGCAGTAATCTGTGGTGGGTGAGTACTACTCTCCTGGTAGCAGCAGGCTATCTGGAGCACAGCAGGGCCATGGGTTGGGCCAGTCTGCAGGACCTTTTTCAGCGATATACTGGATGGCTTAATTCTGTCCCCTTTCCTTCATTCCCGACAGTGAGTCCAAGTCTCTGGTGTCCTGGGTGCACAGTTCTGTCTGTGAGGAATAGTTGGTACAGAACAGGTCTCTGGGCCGGTGGTGTACCTGCCCGCTAGTCTATGGGACCTTTTCCAGGGGTATACTGGATGACCTAATTAGGGTCCCCGTTTCCTTCCTTCCCTGTGGGGTATTCTCCCCATAGAGGCTCCAAGTCTTTGTTGCACTGGGGCACAGAGCTCTGTCTGTGCTGGAGAGTTGGACGTGCAACATCTGTCTGTACTTGTGGCTTGAGCCCAGTTCAGTGATGTTGGCTTGTACCTGCCGGTCTGCTAGACCTTCCCCAGGCAAAACCTGGGTGGCCCAAGTCAGCACCGTTTTCTGTTTTCTTCCTTCCCTGTGGGGCCCTCTCCCTACAAGGACTCCCAGTCTCTGTTGCCCTGGGGTGCACAGCTCTGTCTGTGCTGGAGAACTAGGCACACAACAACTGTCTGTGCTCACAGCTTGAGCCTAGTTCAGTGATGATGGCTCGTACTAGCTGGGCTGCGAGACCTTTTCCAAGTAAAGACTGGGTGACCCGTGGCGAGTCCTGCTGCTTTCCTTCCCCGTGGGTTTTTCTCGCGCATGGGACTCCCAGTCTCTGGTGTTATTGTGCCCAATGTTCAACTTGGGAAGGTGATAATAGGGACACGCAGGAGTGTGGCCCTTGTCCAGCGACCTAGTGCCTGTGCGACCTGGGATCTTTTCTGGGTTCTGGCTGGGTGACCTGAGAGTGGACCCGAATGATTCCCACACCATGGGGGTTTCTTCTCACCAGGGAAACATGATAGCTGTTGTTTTAGGGCCCAGAGTTCAGTCTCTTGGTCGCTGTATTGAAAATGTTGTCCTGCTCCTCAGACGCAATGTTCTCCTGGCACCACCATCTTGTCCCCCTGTTCTGCATTTTTTATAGAAACTGATTTTAAAATTTCAGTGTATGGGAACAGTATCCAGAAATATCTCAAACTAAATCCAGAGCCTGTTTTCAGTTGACAATATCAAGCTGAGCATTTTCTCTCAAGAATCCACAATGAATGTATGTATGAATGAGTATTAGGAACCAGCATTTTTACTGGAAAATAATAATTCTGAATCCAAATTACAGTTGTATCTCTCAAGCCACCATCTAGTATTCTCAGCATTACAGATATGTTAAGTTATAATAAAACTTTACTTGATGGAAACTGAGGCCAAATTTGCTTAATTTCTGAATTAGTCTCACTTAGATATATTCTCTTAATCTTTATTTAGTTACTAAAGATAAAAAAAACAATTCAATTTAAACAGTACGTTGCATAAGTATGGAGTCACTACTGGCACTTGAAGGGAGTTCTCTAAAGAAACGCAGAGAAATAAGACCACTGAGTTTCAGATTTCTTCCCTTTCCCTGTAAGAGAAATACACACATCTTCACAAGAGATATAGTCCCAATTTCTTGTGCTTTCTTCTAATATGTTTGTGTTTGCAGAGAATGTACTTGCATGTAGCATTTGCTTGGTGATTTAAAATGAGTCTTTGCTCTATGAAAGAAAATGTCTATAGGAGATTAAAGGAGCAGACTTTAGGGATTGAAGTTACAAGTAGTGCGAAAAGCTTCTCTATGCTGAATTGTGACAGATAAGAAACCTTCACTACCTTGAAAAGATCTTATTTCTTTTCCTTAGCAGCAAGGAAGGGGATTTTCAGCCCAGTAATGAGAGCTATAGTTTTAGAGAAGAGGCTCGGTTTAGTGTATGGGATGGGGCATGAACTGATACAGCATTAGGTAAGGAATAAAGGTCTGTGCTGCTAGAGTTCTATACAAGGGAGTTTTGACAAGCCTCTATCTTAGGTTTGAAGATGGGACCAGAGAATTAGGTGGCCCCCAAAGTCAGGTTATGACCTTTTGTTTGAACTTTTGCCTCAGATTTGAAGAATGTTGGGTGGAAAAATCAAGAAAATTACTGAGGTGTTTGAGAAGCATAAGGTGAGGGTGGAGCAAGCAGAAGGATGAACCAGACTTAGTATTCAAGAGAAAATGCATTAAACCCAAGCCTACCCCTTAACTTTGATTTCAATTGAGCTCTAAAGGAGGAGAGGGTTGAAGAGATTCATTGAGATTAGAGCCCTCCTCAAAGGTTTTGTTTGTTTGTTGGGCTATTTGGTTGGTTCGTTTTTTGTTTGTTTATTTATTTGTTTTGTTTTGTATTTTTTACACAGTTCCTAAGAGAAAGCAGAGTAAAAGTCAATCACAAGAAACAATGGTCAAAAGGACAGAAAAAAATGTTGTGCCCCAGAATGCTATGGACAGCTGAAGTTGATTTGGTGCAATCCACAAATAGTACATGATGGGTAAAGAGGAGTTGATTTCCAGTAACAGCAGAGTAGCAAATGGTGTAACTTTTCAAATACTTTGATCAACTTTTCTAATTTAAAAATCAATCACTGGAGATAGATATTCCCTCAGGATCTTACCTCCTTGATAAGCATTTCAAAGCATTTACAAAAACAATAGGGAAGAATGCAAAGAACTACATTTTGTCATCTCCTTACTCCTGGCCCCCACGGAGAAAAATTTTGGACCACATCTTGAATCATTGGAATAACATGTACTGAGCACAGCTCTTATCCTTAAAGGAGATAGGGCATCCTGTTGTCAAGTGACAAGTCAAGAGAAGTCTCTCCTTGACTGTAGGCCTCAGTTTTCTCCATTAAAAGGAAAACTGAAGTTACCGGTTCTTATAAATATGAATTTATTGGACTGTACTCTTAGAACTTAAGGTAGAGGTCTACAAAATAGCAACAGAAAATGAAATAATTAACTGAAATAAATGAATGGAACAACAAAATAGCTAAGTCTCAATTTCTATTTTGTATTCATGAAGTATGAAAACTCTGCTGAAAGTTTTTAAGTGGAATATGAAGATGGAGAAGATTTTCTGGAATAAAAGGAACTGTACTGGGCCAGGGTGCTTGATTCTAACCAGACTTTTGTCACTGGCCTCAACACTGGGCTGTTGTAGCCTTTATATTCTGTTGGTAATGTACAGGCAGTGTACAGGATCCCTGTCTGACAGACACAAAATATGTACACTACTCTGTCTGCAGTTCACCAATCAGAACTCTTTATATTTAAATGGGCTATTTCTTTCTAGTCTGAAACTAGATGAGGCAATAAATGATGTCATGTTTCTTTCAGCCCACTCTCAGCCACATTACAACCTCCACCTGCCCTGCAAGCCAATGGGGGATCTGGCAGCTCCAGTGAGTCAGAGAGTAGCTCAGAATCGGACTCAGATACTGAAAGCAGCACCACTGACAGTGAATCCAATGAGGCTCCTAGAGCGGCCACTCCAGAGGTGAGTAAAGTGGTCAAGACCTCAACATCCATCAGTGTGCTGGTGCATAAGCCAGCATGTAAGATGTACCACCATTCTAAGTACTTTAGTAGAGTAACTACTTCAGAAAAGTAGCCAGAAACTTGATAAGATTGTTTCTCTAAAACATATTTGTATACATCCTAACATATATAGATTCCTTCTGTATGACTCTAATTTGTACAGATTGCTTGTGCATCACTGATTTTCTGTCGAAGTCACCGCTTCTCTGAACCTCAAGCCTCATTCCACATAAAATTCATATATTAGTGATAAAGCTTGCAACTTATTTTTTAAGTGACCCAACAAAGCAAATCAAGACCCACTTCTAGAGCTGAAGATGCCAATCCCTTAATTGTACTTAAATTTATTAAAGTGACAAATGCATACCAAGCAAGAAAGAGTTGAGAAATATGCTTTTCCATAAGATGAAACAGCACTCAGGAAGTCACATGTTCCTTATTTCAATTTTCATCGCTAGCCAGATAATTGCTAAGTTATAAAATGTTTAACCTACCACCACAAAATACCAAAACAGTAACTCTGAAATAGGAGGATAAGTTTTTCCCTTTCCATTCTCTATATGTTGAGGCTAGGTTCCTTAAGTTTGCACATGGTGCAACAAGAGAATCTGGATCTTTATACATTTATACATTTCTTTTTCAATAACCAGAAAGGAAGAATAGAAACAATAGTCATTTTATTGTTGTTAAAATAGGAAATTCTTGTTTTTAATTGCTGAGTAATATTTCATTGTGAAAATGTACCACAATTTCTGTATCCATTCATCAATTGAGAGATATCTGGGTTGTTTCCAGATTTTGGCTATTATGAATAAGGCTGCTATGAACATGGTTGAACAAATGACCTTGTTGTATACTTGAGCCTCTTTTGGATATATCACTAGGAGTGGTATAGCTGTATTTTGAGGTATCACTACTCCTAATTGTCTGAGAAAGTGCCAGACTGATTTCCAAAGTGGTTGTACAAGTTTGCATTTCCAACAGCAATAGAGGAGGGTTCCCCTTTCTCCACATCCTCTCCAGCATGTGTTGTCACTTGAGATTTTTGATCTTAGCTATTCTGATGTCTGTAATGTGAAATCTCGGGGTCGTTTTGATTTGCATTTCCTTCATGGCTAAGGATGTTGGGCATTTCTTTAAATCATGAATTTTGCAGGGTAATGGTGGGAACTAGAAAAGATCATCCTGAGTGAGGTATTCCAGAAGCAGAAAGACACACATGGAATACACTCACTTATAAGTGAATATTAGACATAAAATATAAGATAATCATACTAAAATCTGTATACCCAAAGAAGCTAAGCAAGAAGAAGGACCCTGAAAAAGATGCTCAGTCTTCATTCAGAAATTGGCAAATGGGATATACATCAGAAGAAGGTGAAAATAAGGAACAAGACAGGAGCCTACCACAGTGAGCCTCTGAAAGACTGCCCAGCAGAGTATTAAAACAGATGCTGATACTCATAGCCAATCTTTGGGCACAGTGCAGGGAACCTTAGGAAAGAAGGGGGAGATAGAAATACCTGGAAGGGTCAGGATCTCTACAAGGAGAAAAACAGAACCAAAAAATCTTTGCCTAGTGGTCTTGTCTGAGACTGATACTCCAACCAAGGAACATTCATGGAGATAACCTAGAACCCCTGAACAGAGGTAACCTGTGGCAATTCAGTCTCCTAATGGGCTGCCTATTCAGGTGAAGAGGGGCTGTCTCTGACATGAACTCAATGGTTGGCTCTTTGATCACCTCCCCCTAATGGGAGAGCAGCCTTTCCAGGCTACAGAGAAAGACTATGAAAGGAAGTCCTGATGAGACCTGATAGGCTAGGATCAGATGGAAGTGGAGGAGGACCTCTCCTATCAGTGGACTAGGAAACCTTCATGGGATGAGATGAGAGAAGGAGAGAGGAAGGGCAGACTTTGTTTGGGATGAATGTGGGGCTACAGCTGGGATACAAAGTGAAAAAATTATAATAAATAAAAAAATGTATTAAAAAATAAAAAAGCAAAACAAACACACAAAACAAAAGGAAATCCTGTCCTGGACACTTGACTTACATTTTCATATTTCCTCTTACTAATAACCCAATACTTTACTATCATACACTATAGTAAATTTTACAGGTGACAGTGTATGTTTATAATAATTTAAACCAAAACTACCTCAAGATCTCGCAGATAGACAACAGTAAAGCCAGGACTGAAACGGAGGTCAGTGGGCTGCCAGACCTAGCTGCTAACCCTGGGACTACACTGTTAAGAGTGGCAGCTTATATTGTTTCCTTAATACTTACGTGCAATTGTTGTCTAAAAACAGGAATCATACCTACATATTTCTTCTTAAATAATTTTACCATCCTCTATATACTGGTGCCACATACTTGGCATCTTTCAGAAGAAGAACTCTTCTAATAAAAATTATGGCTTTCTATTTCAATTGGTAGAAATCAAAGTTCAATATCAAGAATGTGAATTGATTATACTATTTTTTATTGTGAATGATGAATGCCAAAATCTATATACACATCCCCATGAACTGATTATTGCTCAAATATTTAAGAAAGTGTAATGATTTGAGGGAATCAATTTTGTTCATCCTTCAGTAAAAACACAAAGATGGTAGTGTTTTTCATGAATGATAGCTTCATGTAGTAAACTCTAGGATTTCTGAAGATGGAAAGCTTTTCCTTCTGAACACACATGAGATGCACTTAGAATCATTTTCAGGATTTGACACCATTATCTCTGTTTCCCGGTGATAGGCTGATCAATGATTCTTAGCAAAAGACTCTGGGAACAGAGTTCTCTTTCAGAAGCCTCTCATTACAGATGGAAGCATCCCCTTGTGAAGAATCCTTTACTTGCTAGCTAGAGTAGAAAATATTTTAATGGGAACAGTAGAAACTGGTGTTAAGAAACATACTGTTTTATTTGTAGCTATATGGTTTTTATCTAACCAGATACAGGGGGGGAAATCTCACTCTTTAGTAGTCACTGAAAGTATATTTCTTGATGAGTGTATGTGGGGGGATGTGTATTGGCACTTAACATCCAACGTAGTCTGTTTTTATTTGTTTGTTTGTTTGTTTACAAGGTCTATGTAGCCCAAAATATCCTCAAACTCAATCTTCATATGAAACTAAAAATATCCTTGAACATTTGATCCTGGTTTATGTGGTTCTGAGAATGGAACCCAGAGCTTCATGTGTGCTGAAGAAGTATTCTACTAATTAATTCCCAACCCACATCAACTTAAATTTTATTAGCAAATTGTCACTATACAGAAAGTCCCTCTAGAGTGTCCACACATGTGAAATTCATCCTTGTTACTGTTTCTCAATCTACAGCCTGAGCCACCCTCCACCAACAAATGGCAGCTAGACAAATGGCTGAACAAAGTTACATCCCAGAACAAGTCATTTATTTGTGGACAGAATGAGACACCCATGGAGACCAATTCTCTGCCTCCTCCAATAATACAACCAGTAGAAGTCCAGGTGAAAATGAAACCAAACCCAAGCCAGGCTGTGCCTGAACCCAAAGAAAGGCCTCTCCTAAGCCTCATTAGGGAGAAAGCTCGACCAAGGCCCACTCAGAAAATCCCAGAAACAAAGGCTTTGAAGCATAAATTGTCAACATCAGTTGACACAGTTTCTCAAAGGACAATTGGGAAGAAACAGTTTAAAAAAGTTGAGAAAAACACCAGCTTTGAGGAGTTTACCTGGCCCAAACCAAATATTACCAGCACCACTCCCAAAGAGAAAGAAAGTGTGGAGGTTCCTGACCCACCACGAAGCCGCAACAAAGCAAATACCCACAAATCAGTTCCTAGGAAAGAACCAAGGCCTCATGCCCTTTTGACCACTGAGAAAAAGAAGTACAGAGGGACTGGGAAGATTGTGCCAAAGTCCCGGGAATTCATTGAAACAGATTCATCTACATCTGATTCTAACACAGACCAGGAAGAGACCCTGCAGATCAAAGTTCCGCCTCCTTGCATTCCTTCTGGAGGTAATACTTCTAAACCCAAGGATACATGTAATGCCAGCCTGACCCTTAGTACCTTGACCAGCAGCAACAACAACAACTTATCCACCAGCAATGTTGAGACAGCTTTTTCATCACCTTCTGCCATGCAAACTGAACTTTTGTCCCCTCTACAAGATCAAGAGAATCCCAAAAACCTCTGGGTGAAAATTGACTTTGACTTACTTTTTAGAATACCTGGCCAAAACTCAGTCCCAGCAGCACCTGCCAAGACAGACCACAAAGAAACTGTCTCTAAACCCAAGCGTCAAACTGCTGCCACAGCTGTTGAAAAATCAGCTCCTAAGGGCAAGCGTAAGCACAAGGTGAGTTGTCCAGTAGAGTCTGGCAGGTGGTTGTGAGCAGAGCTTAACTTCATCCGTAGTCTTTGTCAGGAAGACCAATGACAGGGGATTGTAAGCTTTGGTAAAGGAAAAGGCATTTTCTAAGAGAAGTGAAATATTTGGCATATGACCAAAATACTAGGAATTATGAGGTGTAGTGTTAGCCACTGTCAAGGATAGCTCTTATGGAATAAGAGAAATTGTGATATGTAGGAAATAATAATGCAAACAAGACCTCTCCCTGCAGCCAACTTCTTAAATTGTTCCTACTGTCAGTGGCTTCTGTATCATTGCTCACACTTATCACTTCAGCATTAGCAGGTGCTTAACTGCCCACAATAGTCAAGTGTCCCAAAGATTCCCAGTTTTTCGATTTCTTCAGCTCCCAGCTATTTCCTATCCTAATGCATTCAGTTATTTCATAGCATTTCGCTGAAATCATGTCTTCTCACAGTGCTGTTTTGCTAATAATATTCCTCAAACACCATAATAGCTAGAGATACAACTATTAATGCCTATTTCTTTCCAGGAGGGGGATGTCTTGAATATGGTCATTGCTCATGTTAGTGAAGAACAGTACACCTTAGACAATAGTGACTTATTAAATGAGATGTCCTAAAAAGTCTTCATTCCTCTGTAATTAAGGGATTAAGAATGGAAGAGACTGGAAGTGAATAAAACATAATGAAATATCAGAAGACAAGGGTGTGATATGAGAAAGAGAAGCATAAGGATCCAGGAGAAAGCCAGAAAAAAAGCATCCGTGGAATCACGGGTACTCTGAAACAGGGAGTCTTAGAAGATTGAGTGACCATCCAGGGAAATGCTATAAAATAAGTGAATGCAGGAGAAAAGGAATAGCTGGGAGCTGAGGAATCGAAAAACTTGGAATCTTTGGGACACTGGGGAGAACTAAGAGACAGGCAAGTACTAGGAGGCCAGGGAATAGTTGGAGACTGTAAAGTTCTGGAAGACAAATGAGCATTATGAGGCTGGGGAGTTTGAGAAAACTAGAACACTAGAAGACTATAGAACACTAGGACATAGGCAATACTAGAAAACTGGGGAAGACTCAGATAAGGAAGCCTTTGTAAATTAGGTAGTGCTGTAAGACTGAGAGGTACCAGGAAGTATTATCAAGAGTGTGGGATGTGGTAGAACATTGACAAGTTTCATACCACCAAGAAATGATACACTGGAATGTTGGGACACTGAGAATAGCACCAGATAGATAAATATAAGGAGAGAGAGGTGTACAGGAGAATCAGGAGCTGTAGAGCATTAAAGAGTGCTAAGAGACAGTGTAGTACTCAGACAGAAGAGTGCTAGGAGACACAGAAGTTCTCAGGGATTGCAAGGAGGTGGGAAGTGCTTGGAGACAGGAGGACACTCAGAGACAGGGAAGATCTGGGAGATAGAGGCATGACTGATGACTGTCTAGTGCTAAAAATTTATGAAACACTAAGGTCCTAAAAAACCCTAATGGTTGGGAATAATAGAGACAGGCAATACTAAAAGGGAATTTGGAAGTACTAGGGAAACAGAACAATAAGAGTCACGGGAATGCTACATAATTGGGAAGCTGGGGGGACTGACTAAAGGGGACTGCTGAGAGGCAGATCAATTCTAGGGCAAAAGTGAGTCCTGAAGAGAATTCCCAGTGTTCTTTGGTGAGTCATGCACTAATCTACCTAATGAAAGGATTCCAGAACAGTGTGTAGGAAGTGTAGGAGCCTTGACCTGTCCTGATTTTTCTCTCTTATTGATGACAACGGTACAGAGCGAAAATGTGCCTCTGCAATGAGTACATTTAAGAACGAAAGGCATGCTTTACACATACACGTTTTTTTCTCTTGCATGTTGTTGATTTTATAGACAGCCTGTATAGGTTACCCATAAGCCTCGTGCTATTTAAACAGAATTTGTGCCATATTGATGTTACATTGTTCATTTCCTAACTAGCACTTTGTAAACGCACTGGTGTTGAAAGAAGTGTGCTAAAAATTATAGATTCTCTTCACTTTCATTATGAGGTTCCTGTGCCACACAATTCTTAATCAGAGATTTATGTTAACGTTTAAACCTTTCATATGACAACTTCTTGGTAAGACTAGACTAGGAAACGTTGATTGCTTTTTGTCTGTCAAAGCTACACATTTAACTCCCCAACCTAATCTAGAAGTTAAAATACAAGCAAACAAACTTGTTCAGGATTTTTGTTGTTGTTCTTGTTTGTTTTGTTGTTGTTTGGTTTTAGTCTGTGAAACATGCTTGTCTGGATGTGTGGTGTATTTGAAGGTTTGTATATTTTTTTCCTGTAAAAGCCAGCAGAAGCTGCAGAGAAAATCCCTGAGAAGAAACAACGCCTGGAGAACAACACTACTGTCTGCCTGCTTCCTCCTTGCATTTCACCAGCCCCACCCAACAAGCCTCCTAACATTAGAGAGTAAGTTATCCTTGTTTCAGTGTTCTGGCCTTTGTATGAGTGTTTTGTTTAAACAAATGTGTTTGAAAATAATGGGGGCCTCCTATCCTATTAGAATTTCAGGGTAAAATCAAAAGTGGCTTAATCCAGGCCTGACAGCAATCTCTGACTAGTGGTCTAACACAAATATGAATAAAAATCGAAATGTGGACTAGGATGTTTGGTGTTTTTATGAGCTTTGAAGAACCATTTATTTATTACAACTCAGAATAGTCATAAAATTAACCACAGAGAACACTCTGTACCAAGCAAAGAACGTGAATCAAAAAGAGGAGATATCAATAAAGACATACCACCTTAATCAGATCAAGCTGGTTTTGGCCAAAGTTCAGTTCTGATGTTAACTAGACAATTTCCCTTGACCTTGGCTATTTTAATTGCCATTTCCTAGTGTTAATACAAAGCTGGAAGACCATTATTTGCATCCTGACTCTACAGAGGACAGGAGAATGACTGCCCCCATGAGGGCAGTTCTGTGCTGAGAAAAGTGTAGCAGAGATGGGTATGCTGATTCTAACCAGCTGGCCCCTCCTCTCCCTTCTTTTTCTGAGGCACATTTCCAAGATCAAGAAGGAGGCATTCTTGTCTTTCCCCAGTCAAAGCACATCATCTTTCTTTAGAAAAGCCTAGCCCTTTGTTTCTAGCAAATAATATGACTGATTTTTTTTTCCTGTTTTATAAATATTACTTAACGAACAATCATGTCAGCTACTCGAGACATTCTGTCTCTGTAATTGTTGCAATAAATTCATTCAACATTGGAGATTACTGCCATAAAAGCCCAGTTTTGGAGTCTATTAACAGCCCAAAGCAGAGAGGCAATCTGGACAATCATAGCTAACAATTGATTTCACAGATTACTGTTTAGCATCAGTGACACAGCATCAATCTGCCACAGATCAGATGTTGGAAAGAAGTTATCATTTTGAATAGGTCTGACTTCTTGTTTTGAAACAAAAGGTAGAGACAGACTCCTTATCATTAAGACCCATTCTACATAATAACATTTGATCCCTAAGATACCTATCCCTCACTCTGAAAATCAGTTACTATTTGTGACTTGTATATGTATTCTTTGGTAAAGTCTGTTTCTACAATGTCCATTAAAATAGTTTTCAGAAAAATAAACCCAGTGAAGCAACTTGAACCCCTTTTGCTAAGGATAAACCAGGTAAATGAAGAAGTGTGGACTTTGATGCTCAAACATAGTGGCGTAGTGGTAATGCAAGACCTCTTCCATTCCCAGGCTGGACACAGTTCAGATAAGCTACAGATAAATGTTAGAAGCCAAAAGAATAGTGAAAAATTGTCACACCATCAATGCCTTACTAAGCAATCTTACTAGGAAACCCAAGGAGTTGTTACTGTACTCTTGATAGTGACTCTTCCATAAAATAAAGTAACTCTCAATTAAGAAAATGATATGTTTAGTGCACAGGCTTTGTATGCACTCTGTTCTTACAGTAAATGGGAAATTACTATTTCCTGGGGAGTATTTATCATTTAAATAGGGAATTCAACATACCCTTTTGATTGTCAACAGCATGAGATTCTTGGAATAGAGGAAAAATGAAGTAGATTGGTGTCATAAGGGTCTTCTTTTAGAAATCCCCTTGCAATCATTATCTCTTCTCTTATTCTTTGACCCTTTGCTCTAAATCCTAAGCAACTTTTAAGAGAAAATGTTCTCTTTTCTAAATAAATATGCTAAACCCAGAAAATATTCTATATCTGATTGTGACAACTGGAGTTACCTCATCAACCAAAAGAAAGCTCTTTTGAGTTCCTCACCACATTCAGAACTTAACAAAGCCATAATAATGTCATTTTCTATCCATTTAAAGGACAGAAATATGAAAAGAAAATCTTGTAGTTAAAAACAATCACAGTGATCTTCCTTAGAAAAAGTCGCCTGGATGTTTTTTTGTCAATGAAATTATTAAACATCCAAAATCCCTAGCTTGCTGCTAGGAAGATGAAAAGGGACTAATACCCTGGTGCCTATTGCATAGAAGGACTGTTTTCCCATTTTTCCAGTTCAGTAGACAATGGGAGAGTACTGACATACAATTTAAGATCAAGTATCTCTCATAAATAGTTCTTCACAGTGCACACCCCAGTACCTTCTTAGCCAGTAAAGTGGAGGGAGGGATGGTTACAAATAATTAATTACCTCCTGTAGAGGAACCAATAATGGTTTACTTGTGTGTGTATACATATCCTCAAAGGTCAGGTACCATTGTAATTATTATACTTTATGTGTTCTGTTGTTGTTGGAACTTCTTCATGGGTAAGAATGTAGATCCGTGGCTAAAAAGGGTACTAAGTGGTCAAAAGCACTTGTTGCTCTTAGAGAGGTTCTGAGTTTGGTTCCCAGCATCCACATAGTGACACACAAGCTCCTGTATTAATTCTAGTTACAGGGAATAAAACACCCTCTTCTGACTTCCTCAGGTAACATCAAACACATGCATGTGAATAAAAAAACACTAGTATATATAAAAGAAATTTAAAAAAATCTTGATCCATATGTTCACTATTATTTTATCTGGCATCACAACTATAGTAAAACAGCTAATATTTAAAAAAAGATTTTTAAAATAATTAAGAAATATTAGTCATGGAGGACATTGCAGCCAGTCCTGAATATACCTCATAAAACAGGGTCAGATGAAAGGGGAGAAGGTCCTCCACCATCAGTGGACTTGGAAAGGGGTAGGGAGGAGATGAGGGAGGGAGGGTAGGCTTTGGAGGGAATAAGGGAGCAGGTACAGCTGGGATACAGAGTTAATAAAATGTAACTAATAATAAAAATTAATTAATTAATTAAAAAAAGACAATGACAGAAACAATTTCACTTTTTAAAAGGTTCACTACATGGAAATAGAGTCTCATTTATAGGACAAAAGATGAGGCAGAGAGAATGTATTGTTATAATTGTCCATTATATAGAACACAGTAAAGGGGAACAAGGAGATTGCACTGATTTCTCTTTCAGTGCAATCTCCTTTCAAGCACAGACCACCTGAATGCTTGTTCATCTTTGATTTGTTGCTCTGAGAAATAGCAAATCTATATATCTAGACACTGACTGAAACTGACCAACAGGAAAATATAAATTCTTGTTGACTTAATTTGCTATTGAAAGTTGCAGTCAATAATCATGAAAAGTAAATGGCTGAACAGTGCGATATTAGTTGTCTAAGAAAAGATTAAAATTCAAGTAATCTTCATTGATTCATTCACAAATGTAACTAAAATGAAAATCCATGACCCAATTACCATGGAAAGCAGTTAGCATATGATCTTAGTCATTCTGTTTTATTTTAAGTCTCAGTCTGTTTGATGGTGCCCATTTAATGGGCATATAAATTACTTTAAAAGCACAGGGGTACTTTCAGTATTGGAGATGTCTCTTGTCAATATCACCAAAGATAGTTTAAGTAAGGTTTTGTGAAGTGTATTACACCAGCACTTCAATGTAACAATTTAAAGTGAGTGGATGTTTATAAATTTTCATTAGCACACGGCATTTTTACAGACAATTCACAATGTTTTACAATTGTCTTTAGTGTGTAACTTATTTCTTAGTGTATAGGCATACTATTTCATTTAAAATATGAAATGTATTATACCACTTATTGCTAGATTGTTTGGTTAAGTCTTAGTAGAGTATCCTGAAAATTGAAGGGGTTGAAATCTAAATTGTATTTCCTAATGGATAATTATCTTGATAGGTTTCAGATATTACACTGTAGCACTCTTTTTAGATATATACATTGGTCACTCTTTTTAGAAATACACATTGGTTCTGCTTCTAAGACAAATTGAGTCTTATATATTTATACATATATACATATATATGTATATATCTTCATATGTATGTACAGATTATATATATATATATATATATATATATATATTTCATTACACATCACTTTAGCTGAAGACAGCAGGAGAGTGATGAAAATGAAACAAGATGAGACATTATGACACCGTACACTTTTTGTTTCCATAGAAATTCATCCAGGAGAACAAACAAGAGAAAAGAAGAAAAGCTGTTCCCTCCTACACTTTCCCCACTGGCAGAGGACCTGCCACGTCGCAGAAATGTCAGTGGCAACAATGGGCTCTTCAGTTCTGACAAAAACATCTCCATAGCTGGACAAATCACTTCTATCAAACCTAAGAGAAGTGAAGGCAAATTCTGTGCTACTTTCAAAGGAATATCCATAAATGTAAATGTAAGTGTCTTAGAAGAAATAATCTGTCAAGTAAAAATAAGTTAATGCAGCTCAACTAGCATGACTTTACCAAGAATATGTCACAAGAAGAGATAGGCACAGAAAAGCTTAGCATGTCTTTTTTTTTTTTTTGAATTTTATTTTTTCTTATCAGTTACATTTTATTAACTCTGTATCCCAGCCATGTCCTGATCCCTCATTCCCTCCCAGTCCCTCCCTCCATCCCTCATCTCCACCATGCCCCTTGCCAAGTCCACTGATAGGGGGGACCTCCTCCCCATTCATCTGATCCTGTTTTATCAGGTATCTTCAGGACTGGCTGCAAAGCTCTCCTCTGTGGCCTAACGGGACTACTCCTCCCTTGGGGGGTGGGGAGGCCAAAGAGCCAGTCATTGAGTTCCTGTTAGAAATAGTCCTTGTTCCCCTCACTATGGGAAACCAATTGGTTACTGAGCTACCACAGGCTACATCTGAGCAGAGGTTCTAGGTTACATTCATACATGGTCCTTGGTTGCATGTCAGTCTCAGAAAAGACCCTGTGCTTGGTCCTTGTGGAGCTCCTATCCTTTCCTCATCAGAATAACTCCCCTTCTTTCTTATGATTCCCTGTACTCTGCCAAAGTTTGGTCATGAGTCTTTGCTTTGAAAACACTGCTAGTTAGAGTTTTTCATATGTGCTCAGTAGACTCCTGTCATATGTTCAATGTGCATCCCATCTGTCTTTCAAAACAAGGATTGATAATCTTACCCCATGTCCATTCCCTTGATTATGTTTTTTAGGTGTATAGATTTCATTATGTTTATCATATCTTATAGGTCTATATAAGTGAGTATATACTGTGTTTGTCTTTCTCCTTCTGGGATATTTCACTCAGGATGATCTTTTCTAGATCCCACCATTTGCCTGCAAATTTCATGATTTCCTCCTTTTTGATTGCTGAGTAGTATTCCATTGTGTAAAAATACCACAATTTCTGTACCCATTCCTCTGTTGATGGACATCTGGGTTGTTTCCAGGTTCTGGCTATTACAAATAAAGCTGCTATAAACATGGTTGAGCAAATATCCCTTTTGTGTACTTGAGCAAACTTTGGGTATATACCTAGCAGTGGTATAGCTGGGTCTTGAGGAAGCACTATACCTAATTGTCTTAGAAAGTGCCAGATAGATTTTCAGAGTGGTTGTACCAGTTTACATTCCCACAGCAGTGGAGGAGGGTTCCCCTTTCTCCACAACCTCTCCAGCATGTGTTGTCCCTTGAGTTTTTCATTTTGGCCATTCTGATGGGTGTAAGGTGATATCTCAGGGTCGTTTTTATTTGCATTTCCCTGATGGCTAATGAGGATGAGCATTTCTTTAAGTGTTTCTCTTAGCATGTCTTTTTATGCAAACATTCAAGCTCTCTGTTATTCCAAAGGCCCTAGGTGTCCTTTGGTTCCATCTCTTCATACCTTGAGGGTGGGAAGGATACTTCCATATTACTGAACACAAACTTACATGTGTTAGGCACTGATCTTCTAAAACAATGTTTCTCAAGCTTCCTAACTTTAATACAGTTTCTCATATTGTAGTGATCCCAACCATAAAATTATATTTGTTGCTACTTTATGTGATTTTGCTATTGTTATGAATCATAATGTAAATATCTGGCATATAGGTGATCTTAAGTGACCCCTATAATAGGTCATTTGACCTCAAATGGGTCATGACTCATAGACTGAGAACCATTGTTATAGTGGATGAAAGAAATACATGATATTAAGGTTGCCCAAGGTCACTAATCAGGAATAGGAATGCCAAGCTGTTGCTTTCTAATATTCAGATTTGCAAATGTGAATTGTTGGAAAAATAGTGGCTAAACAGGATTGACTATTTCTATTAAATAGTAAATCTATTTCTACAAGGCAAAATAAATAATAATCTATTTCTACAAGGCACAATAAACAATTCTACAGTCCTTTAAATTTTCTGCACTACAGCTTGATTATCATAGATTAGGAATGGTACAATATCAATATCCCTACACAAAGGCACTTCATTTTTCAGGCATAAAAATATGAACTATTGCAACCATAAGCCACAACCTCACTAAAGAATGTTAATGACACATACACACACACACACACACACACACACACACACACACATATATATCCACCTTTAAATAAAGATAGATACATGCATATGTACATATAAACATACATTATATAATACATAAATTGATAAATGAAGATATATCACCTACATATATCCACTTCTCTTTAAATATTAAAAAAGAGTGGAAGTGAGTAACTTCTTAGATGTCTCATACCAACTTTTGCAGACCAGAACTTTGATGTCCACATAGCAACTCTTGAAAGGTAAATGAGGGCTCTTGGCTTAACAACCTTGATTTATAGGCTTCCATTAGCTAAAATATCTAAAATAGGTGGGGTGACATTCTTATCTAAGTAAATACTACAAATGTAAATATTTATATTAGTTGACATTTTCCACATTTGCAAACTCATGCATTTCTCTCTCTGTATGTATATATGTGTATATATGTATGTGTGTTCACATACAGTAAAGAATGCAGTTACACATCACTTCAGCTGAAAAGAATCTATAGTGCTGATAATTAACCTATCTATTCTAAACATCAATTACCATGTGATATATCAAGGAAATTAACTTGTGTTCTGCCCAGTATATTGTCATTAGCAATTAGGTCTTCTGAAAACAATGCCTTGTATTATGTTACAAATAAGTGAATGTTATGAATTCTATTATGACAAAGATAATGCTTCAAGAAGCTACAGTCGGATAAAAAAAAAGATAAAAATTACTGGGTAAATGTTATATCAGTATATTTTCTCCTGGAAATGCATTATCCTTTCATGTTGTATAACATGGAATTCTGAAAATGAACAGATTTGTAGACAGATTTCATGTTTGTTTACTTTTCACAATCATGAGTGTATCTAATACTTTCTAGTTAGATGTTTCTATACTAAGATCAATGCCTTATGTATGGTATATGTGGTACTTCAAGGTTCATGTCACATATCTTGGTCACCGCAACAGCTAACCCTGTCCTAATCTAACTTTACTGTTTGATCTGGGTCATTCTGAATCTAACAGTATAGACATGGAGATGGTACAAAATTCTTTTACAAATGTAAAAGAATTTTACATCTATGGTGATCTTGGGCATGGGAGGAGATGAAGGACAGAGGGTGGGATTAGGAGGGAATGAGAGAGGTGGCTACAGCTGGGATCCAAAGTGAATAAACTGTAATTAATATAAAAAATAAAAATTTAATTAAAATAAGAAAAAATATTTTGCTGTATACATCACAATAATTCACATTATCTACATTATACATTATATATGTATATATAAATAATACATACAAATATACAATATATATGTATATATACATATATATATATTATACATTCATATATATTATACAATTATATCAATGTGGCCTACATAGTAAGAATGACCTAATAGCCATGAAGGTCAAGGATCAAGTGGAAAAGAATGATTTTCATGGATTTAAGGGATATCATACTTAGCTTTTATCTCTTTTATTGATTAAGTTATTCATTTACTTTATATTTCTATCGCAGATTCTCCTCCCTCCCACTCCCTCCCTCTTACCTCCCCCATATAACCTTCCTTCACTTCTCCTGAGAAAAAGGGAGGTCTCCCATGTATATCAGCCAGCCTTGGCATATCAAGTTGCAATAAGACTACCTGCATCTTCTACTGAGGCTAGAGTAGGCAGCACAGCTAGGGTAAAGGGATCCAAAGTCAGGCAATGTATTCAGAGACAGCCCATGCTCCCACTTTAGGAGTACCACATGAAGACCCAGATGCACAACTGTTACCTATGTGCACAGAGCCTAGGTCAGTCCCATGCATGTTCTCTCATCAGCTGTTCTGTGAGCCTCTGTGGGCCCAAATGAGTTGATGCTGTAGGTAATTTTCTGATATTCATGGTGCGCCTGGCTCATTCAATCCTTCCTCCCCCTCTTACACAGGATTTCTGAAATTCCATTTAATATTTGGCTGTGGATCTCTGCATGAGTTTCTATTAGTTGCTTGCTGAAACTTTTCTAATGACAGTTATGTTAGGCTCCTGTATGCAAGGAAAGCAGAATGTCATTAATAGCATCAGGGTTGGGCTCCCTATCATGGTGAGCCTCAAGCTGGGCAAATCATTCTTTGGCCCTTCCCTCAAATACTGTTCCATTTGTTTTGTTTTGTTTTGTTCTATTTAATTTTTGAGAGAGTGTTTCTCTATGTAGGCTTGACTGTCCTGGAGTCACTTAGTAGACCAGGCTGGCCTCAAAGTCACAGAAATTCACTTGCCTCTATCTTCCAAGTGCCACCCATGCACATCGAATTGGCTGTCTGCTCTATCGTTTACCCCTGTATATCTTGTTGATAGGACACATTTTGTGTCTAAGGTTTTCTGTCCACGTTGGTATCCCAATCCATCCATTAGAAGTCTTCATGGTTACAGGACACGGCCAACTTAGGCTCAACATATACTTTTGCTAAAAGTCTTAGCTAGATTTTTTTGGTTCTGTTGGTCTCCTTGTGGAGCTCCTGTCCCATATAGGTCTTTCTATACCCACTTCTTTCATAAGATTCCCTGCACTCTGCCCAAAGTTTGGCTATGATTCTCAGCATCTGCTTTAAATACCTTTCTGGCTAGAGTCTCAGAAGCCCTCTGTGGTAAGCTCCTGTCCTGTTCCCTGTCTTCTCCTACTTCCAATGTCTATCCTATATGCTCTTCTGAATGAGGATTTATCATCTTACCCAGGATCCTCCTTCTTACTTAGCTTTTTTAGGTGTACATATTTTAGCATGATTATCTTATATTGTATGTCTAATATCCACTTATAAGTGAGTATATACCGTGTGTGTCTTTCTGCTTCTGGGTTACTTCACTCAGCATGAACTATTCTAGATTATGGTATAGCTGGATATTGAAGTACACTCT